GCTGGAGAGCCTGGCAGCCATCGAGGCTGAGCTGGAGCGCGTGGCCCACAAGCTGCACGAGCTGAGGCGGGGCTGAGGGCTGGCGGCCGCCCCCTTCCCTCCCCGCCGCAGTCTCTCCCTTCCTGATCTCTCGGCGAGCACGACGGAGCAGCAGCACTGCGCCTCAATGCTGGCCGCGCGGGCGCCCAGGCCTGCCTCCCTCAGCAGTAGTGTTGTGCCCATCACTGCTTCTTGCCCCACGCTCCTCTGTCCCCTACGGATGTCCAACTGCCCTGACGGGCCACTGTAGCCAAGAAGTGCGACCTGCACCTGTATTTTCTTTCTTTTTTTTCTCTCTCTCTCTTTTTTTTTCCCCCCTTTCTGTTTTTAAATGACAGGACAGCTTTCTAGAAAGTTTTCCTCCCACCGGTAGTTTCACTGGGTAAAATTGCAATAACTTGTTACCTTTTGATTAAAAGCTGAGAACTCTGACTGTAATATATTCTATATAAAAAATTTATCTAAGGAAAAATAAAACTGCGGTGGGTTCCTTGTTTTATTTGCCAGCTTTGGTCTCGGTCAGCGGCAGGGCTGTCCGGCCCCTTTGGGGAGCAGGGAGCCACGGCATCCCCTCACCACGACACGTCTTGGTGGCGTTTCCAGCCTTACTGCTGCCCAGCCCTACGGGCACCTCTCTGGGGCCAAGGCAGGGGTTTTGGAGCTTCAATATTGGGTAAATACTTGAGAAAGTCAGGTTATTCAGGCAACATGAGTGGGTTTTAATAAAATACTGATAAATGGGCTAGTCATGAGGAAAACCATGAGGTGCGGTCTGGCGGCGCCATCTTGTGCTTTCCCTCCCCTCAGGCGCAGCAGAAGCGCCCACATCCTTGGGCATAGGCTGGGTGCCAGCTGGAGGGCTGGGCAGTCTGTGGCTGGGGAGATTGGCCCCTAAAAGTCTCTAAACATAAGAATTTGCCCTGCTCGAATGGAAGAAAGTGTTTTTAGAGGGTGTAGGAATATGCCTAATAACTACGATGGTGAGGTCAGAATTAAACTCAATATATGCCTGTATTCTGTTAAAAACATGAGCTGTGTTGGCCCACGCAGTGAATCGGATTGGATTTGGGTGTGTGGACTTCCCTCAGCACAGAGGAGGAGGCTATCACACGACGAGCTTCCCCAGGGGGCTGGCAAAAGCTGCTGCGATGGGCAGTGCTCCTTGTCCCCTCCCAGCCCATGCAGCACCTGGAGGAGGAGGAGGAGGAGAAGGAGGAGGAGGTGAGGCCGAGGCACTGCGTGAAAGCTGCCCTGGGCACAGGCTGGGAGGAGCCACAGGGTGAGTGACACCCAAGCCAAGTGTGGATCAGGAGGCTCATCCTGACAAGATCACACTCATTAAACCCGTAGAAACACACTTAGGAACAGAAGTGAGATCAAAGCTGTTCCACGGAAAACATACTAGAATTTCAGTAATTAGGGAATTCATCCAGCTACAAACATCTCGTTTTTACCTACTGCTCACCATTTAGATTTTACTTTAAATATTGTACTTAATTTCCTGCCTTTAGCACTACCCATACAACCCCTTGCAAATTGAGGTCTACATATGGCAGGGAATTCAGAGAACCCCTTCCTCCCATTTCCCCCCTCCCCCCAAAGAAAAACCAAACAACCCACAACAGAAATGCAGCCATTTCCAAGGAATCACAGAATCACAGAATTATCTAGGTTGGAAGAGACCTCAAGATCATCGAGTCCAACCTCTGACCTAACACTAACAAGTCCTCCACTAAACCATATCGCTAAGCTCAACATCTAAATGTCTTTTAAAGACCTCGGGGGACAGTGACTCCACCACTTCCCTGGGCAGCCCATTCCAATGCCTCACAACCCTCTCAGTAAAGAAGTTCTTCCTAGTATCCAACCTAAAACTCCCCTGGCGCAACTTTAGCCCATTCCCCCTCGTCCTGTCACCAGGCACGTGGGAGAATAGAGCAACCCCCACCTCTCTACAGCCTCCTTTAATGTACTTATAAAGAGCGATAAGGTCGCCCCTGAGCCTCCTCTTCTCCAGGCTGAACAAACCCAGTTCCCTCAGCTGCTCCTTGTAGGACTTGTTCTTCAGGCCCCTCATCAGCTTCGTCGCCCTGCTCTGGACTCGCTTGAGCACCTCAATGTCCTTCTTGTAGCGAGGGTCCCAAAACTGAACACAGTACTTGAGGTGCGGCCTCACCAGAGCCAAGTACAGCAGGACAATCACTTCCCTAGACCTGCTGGCCACACTGCTTCTTATGCAAGCCAAGATGCCAACGGCCTTCTTGGCCACCTGAGCACACTGCTGGCTCATATTCAGACGACTATCCACCAATACTCCCAGGTCCTTCTCTGCCTGGCAGCTTTCCAACTACTCATCTCCCAGCCTGTAGCTCTGTTTGGCGGTGGGAGAGCCACACCACCACCCCTTCCATGCTGCCTGTCCCTTCTGAAGAGCCTATAGCCAGACATTGCAGCACTCCAGTCATGAGAGTGGTCCCACCACGTTTCCATGATGACAACCAAGTCATAGCCTGCCTGCTGCAGGATGGCTTCTAGCTCCTCCTGTTTGTTACCCATGCTGTGTGCATTAGTGTAGATGCACTTCAGTTGGGCCATTGCCTTCTCTCCCAGCCTTGCCATTGTTCCCCCTGGCACAGCTCTAACAAGCCTTGTTTCAGTCCTATCCCCCTTCTCACCTAGTTTAAAGCCCTCTCAATGAGTCCCGCCAGCTCCTGGCCTCGGATCCGTTTTCCCCTTAGAGACAGGGACCTGTCTGAGGCCATCAGGCCAAGTGCTGAGTAAAGGGCCCCATGGTCAAAAACCCCAAAATTTCTGTGCTGGCACCAGCCTCTGAGCCACGTGTTTATCAGGTGGGCTTTCTCTGTCCTCTCTGTACCCCTCCCTGCCACCGTAGGGATGGATGAAAACACCACCTGTGCTCCCGCTCCATCCACTAACTGTCCCAGTCCCCTAAAGTCTCGTTTGATGGTCTTCAGGCTTCTCTTTAATGTCAACACTGCCAGCCTGGACTGTTAAAAGAGGGTAATAGTCAGAGGGGCGAACCAGGCTGGGAAGCTTTCTGGCAATGTCCCTGACCCTGGCCCCAGGGAGGCAGCAGACTTCCCTACAGGTAGGGTCAGGCTGATAAATAGGTCCCTCTGTTCCCCTGAGGAGGGAGTCGCGCACAACAATCACCCTTTTTTCTGTCCTAGTGGAGGCAGTCCTGAGGCGTGGGGCCGACTTCCTCCCCCTAGGCATCCTCCTGGGTAAACTTTCTACCTCTTCCTCAGCTACCGGTCTCTCAAGCTCCAGGGCCTCAAACCTGTTGCGTAAGGGCAGCTGGGAAGGTGGGGCTAGTGGGGGAGGGCATCGCCTGTGATGTCAAGCAGGGACCCGTCTCCATTCCTCTTCAACTCCCAGGTCCCCTCCCTCTGCCCGACAGCAGCAGGGCAGGGGGTCCATCCCCATTTGGGGTGTCTCACCCCGGTGCCTGCCCTTCAGGCCGCACAGGGAGTCACTCCACAAGTCTATCTCCCGGTCACACTCCCTGATATCCCTCAACCTCTCGACCTCCTCCTTGAGTTCTGCCATGAGGCGGACCAGGTCATCCACCTGCTCGCACCTCACGCACACAGTCTCTCTGCCCCCCACAGGTGGTAGCAACAGGCTCAGGCACTCCCTGCACTCAGAGACCTGAACTGCCCCAGTTTTGAGGGGGCAGTCGGTCTGGGTGTGTACAGATTTCCTGGAGAGCGCTGTGCCTGGTGTACACCATTGCAGCTGAGCTAGCGGTAGACTGCCGTTAGAGGAGGTGTTCGTATGGGCAGGGGGGAGCGCTCTGCCCTGCTCGGCCTGCCTGCGCCAACTGCTGCGCCAACTGCCGTGCCACGCCCTAACTGCCACGCCCAAACTGCCACACCACACCCTAACTGCCACACCCTAACTGCTGCGCCACGCCCTGTTTGCCTGTCCTGGTCACTACGCTCTCTAGGGCCAGCTGTTGAACGGCCGGGGAGGGGGCGCTGCTGGCTCTGCCTACGCCTCGCTCTTGCCTCATTCACCTCCCTCGCGAGGGCTGCTGGGTCCTGACGGCTCCTTCGAGTGGGCTCGGTGCTGGAAAAATTAGCCCTGCCTGTCCGATCCCCCGCTCCACTGCAGATCGTGTCTGCCCTGGAGCCGATCGCCTTGGCAAGAAACAACCCACAAACCCACAAAAACCAAACAACCCACAACAGAAATGCAGCCATTTCCAAGGAAGTTAGACAAGTTTTTTCCATAAAGGATGGTGGTAGCAGACAGAACTTGCCTTTCACAAAATCAACAAAAGGGAAAACGTGTTACTTGATGGACCTACTATGAACATTTTAACTGGACAATTGTGTAATGACAAATGTTTGGGAGCCAGAGACTTTCTTCAAAGGAAGACAGAGTTGAGGGCCGGGCAGGGCACCTGACCAGCAGGCAGGATGCTCGCCCTCCGACCAGCAGCAGCTCTGCTTTACAGCCCTGCTCACCTTCCCCGCTGCACGGCTCGTCCTTGGAGATGACACGAAGCGCTGATCTGCAGGCAGTGTTTCCACGAGGGCCCTTGCCAAACCTGCCTGTTGCTTAGCAAAATGTCATACTGCTGGGCAAGACATCCAGCTTCCCTGTGCTAGCCCAAACACGATCCCGATCAAAAAACCTGCGAGGTTTGGAATTCCTCATCCAGGATGATGAAGGAAGAATCAGCCCAAAAGGCTGCACGAGGAATAAATTCTCAAGTACAGCCTGGATCCCAGTGCAGTTTAGATGTGCTATACAGTAGTTACATAAATAGACTACCCACTTGTCTTGGAAGTCAAAACCAAACCAAACCAGCCACTAGTGGTGCTGCCACAAGATGGTCTGAAGTAACCGCAACCAACTACACTGAGGAAGCTTCCCCCAGTGAGCTGCTCACCTTGCTGCCCTACCCACTCATAAAGAGAAAGCAAAGAAAACTTGTTATAAGGCATTTATTTTCATTATGTGTTGGAAAGGGACAGTTCTGTCTTCAAAACGATTACAGAGAGAATGCCACAATACCTACTGTATATTGCTTTACTGGTGAAATCAAAACATTGTCCATCACAGGTGCTTGGCAAAATAAAAAATGAAAAGAAAAAAAAAAAAAAAAGGATATATTACCATTGAAATCATTGCTGTTAGATGAAAACACCATCTTCATTGTCAGATCTGATCAGTCATGCAATTAAAGACGCCAAATAGCAAATACTTCTGTTTTTTACAGTAAGCCATGATCTTTTAAGGGTTTTTATCATTCCTATACAAATTTAAGTACAAAACGGGAATTGTGTTTCAGAAATCATAGTGAAGAGGGCTGAGGCAAATCACAAGACACACTTGTTAACACTGTACAGCTGGATTCGAACACAGATACTGACGACCTTGTGACACCTAGCACACATGAAGAATGGTCCCCAGGTTTCAGCCATGCCTAAGTGGGGAGCACGGTTGGCGAGTGAAGGAGAACATCCAACAGGACTCACGTGTGAGGGGGGCCAGCTGTCTCAGGACTGCCAAGGTCCCAAGGAATTACTGTCACTTGATTTTAAGAATGACTGCATTTTAGTATGTCGTCCTCACAAGGGTATACACAAGCCATATCACATACTGAATGAGAAATAAATAATAAAAGATACATCTAATACAGCTTTTATTTTTAATTATTTTTGTTTTTACAGCACTGACTTTACAAGAGGATAAACAACTCATTTTTAGGGGCTGCTAACATCTGAAACAAAGAAGTCACTATTTTATACTCAACATATACTCAACCTTTTAATAACTTTATATATGTATATATGACTTTTCACACAAAAATGTTAAAATAATTTATACCTAAAAACTACTGTGTAAAGAATGAAGGAGGAAATAAAATGTGGGTTTCCTTAAAAAGGATGGAAGAGGAAGACCTGATTTTCATGAACTCTGTTCACTGTTTCACCTATTTCTAGATTTTCAAGAGCTTTCCAGGCCATCAAGAAAAACTTCACAATGCATCAGGAGCCCCATGCAAACTAATGGCATGCTGGGCAAGGCCACCATCAATTGAGCTCATGGCCCATGGGCATCTGCTGGTGTCAGCCCCAGGGTTTCGGGGTGAGAAAGGTGGAGAGGAAAAGTCTCCCCAGATTATTACACAACCAGGTGGAGAGGAATCCTGGCATGTTGGTATCAGGGCCCACTGGCCAGGACTTCACCCCCAAACCCTAGTTCTCCTCGCCCCATTTCAGCACATTTTTTAACACTGATTTTTTTCTTCCACAGGGAAACTGTACAACCAGCAGGAATGGACCAGACCCAAAGAGTCCCCTACACACATAGCAAGAACAATTCAGCGCCTTTGCTTGCTACGGGTATTGTTGTGCCTGCGTTGCTGAGGGATGACTCTAACACCTCCACCTATACCTGGATCCTCTCAAACTTTACCAAGCTTCAGTAATTTCTGTTGCCATGTAAACACGACAGAATCCACAGAGGATGTGAAACTCACCCAGTCAAAAGCTCAACTTTTGATGGCCTGGAGATCCACACAGAGTGAACAGGGAAAGGAAAGGTAGTGAAGATGTGGAAAGTACTTTTCTGGAAGTTACAATCCTCTGAAATAGATATTAAAGCAATATTGCAAATAAAATCAGCAATGTGATCTGCAACGGTGTGTCTGTTTATCTATGAAAGCAAGAGGAGATTATATTAAAGGAAATATTTTAATCTACACAAAGCATTTTCACATACTGCTATTACAGAACACACGGTTGCAACACCATAAAGTAATTGTATACTGAATACAAAAATCAATACATCTCTTACTAAAAAGGAGACAGGGAAAAAAATAGCAGGGTAATGCAAGTGAACTGCAAGTGTGCACATGGGAAGACTGCTACAGACTCAAAATAGACTCTATTCACTAAAAAAATACAAAACCCAAGACTTTCTGCACGGCTGTGGAAGAAGGCAAGGCTGTAAGCTAGTGTGAAAAAGCCCGACTCACTTGTGACTGCTGCCACACGAAGACTTTGGGAAACCAGTGTTAGTCGAAGAACTGATAAGCCTGGAACTTATTTTTGTTGGAGGGAAACAAAAGTTTCCATTTTCCTTTTTTGCTCTATTATTATTAATGACTTTTGCCAGTCAATTCAAACCTCTGGCCACCTTTATTCTGTTGCCTTTGGACTGTGTCCTGCTGCTTTTACCTACACTGCTTCAACCACTGCTCCCTGGCTGGACACAGCCTGTGGTTAGCAGGAGAACTTCAGGCCATATCTCGAGCCATCCTCATTACTGTCAGCTCCTCCTGAACCCACAGGGTGAATTTCTTGGTTCATATCCATCTGTCAGGACAGCAAATTAAGCTGCTGGTTCTCCATCAGAGCAACCTGCTGCAGACCTCTGTGCAGATACTGATGCATTTCAAATGGGGATCGTTAGTCAATTTTCTCATCCCAACAGTCCGAAGGGCATTAATAAAAGCAGCACACCTCGTCCACCAGCCCAGCCAACAGGCAGCTACACACGGAGCCTGGAATAGCTGGGCACGTGGTTAGCCAAGGCAGAAACGCATGGGTCAGGCGGTGGGTGTGTTACACGAACCCCAGGCATCAACACCAACACTCACGTTTGTGCAGGCTGCCTGTCTGCAGCTGGGCTTTCTGTAAGGATCTGAACATCCTGGTGCCGTCATTGCAAACCCGATCATAACATGGCAAATATCCCTACAGAGGGAGGATGATGGCGATGGCTTTGCGCCATGGGCACTAATGACACCATTCAAGTTCTCTTCAATCGGGCAAAATCTCCATCTACTGAAGCCAAGCACATAATTAGAGTGGAAATCACAGTCCAGTCTCCTCCCTCACGCTGACATAATGCCTGGAGAAGTTCCAGTCAAGGTACTGTTGGTTTTGTGGATTTATAACAGTGAAGCAGAACAGAAATAGATCCATAAGAAGCTAACTGGTGACCATTTAATTTTAACGTAATTGCTCCAATCAACACCGCAATAATAACTATGCCTCTAAAAACACAGCAGAACCTTTTCTAACCCACAATAGCAGAATTCAAACAGACGTTATGGAAAATCTCCCTCAGATTGTCTGCAATTTTAAGAGCAAGGGCATTCTGATATGGTCTAATATTACTATACGTCCTTACTTTTACAAAAAGAAAGAAGGAAAAGAAGAGACTACGGAACATTAACCAACTTACTGTGAAGCTTATCGTAAATCAAAACTATCCTGAACTTATCAAATGAGGCAGCAATTCAGAAAAGCACTTTAGCACAGGCTTAATAACATATGCATGCTCGAATGTTTCGCAGTAATGTAATTGTACATCTGAACACCTGGTAATTTACAGTTTTGGCTTTTAAAAGTTGGTCTCCCTATCTGCCCATGTGATTCAGCAACAATCTAGTATAGTCTTAGCCATAACAATAATTTCTGCAAGGAAATAGAGTAGTACAGCAATCGCATGGTAATTTATGAGACAACTCTATTGTAATGCCACATCACAACAGGTACCTGCATACTTGCACCTGGTAAATTAAAGTGATACCAATACATTTGATAAATAAAAAATAAATTACAGACTATGGGAAAAATGTCACTGATCACACCAATGACCTAAACTTGTTTTCTAATTACAGCCAAGGTCTGGAGTAATATTTAAATATAGCATTTCTGTAAGCCTTCAGAGAATTACAAAATAAACTTTTAACAATCATTTGTAAACAAGTTTAAAATGCACAATTATATTTCAGTAGTTTATTTTGGAGAAATAAAGCAGTGCAAAATAGGCCAACCAAAATTCAGAAGGCAGCCAGGAAAATAAAATTCTTATTTGATGTTCTAACTAGGAAACAGCATACAGACATTTCAATTGGATCCGACGCTCAGATTCATGTAAACATACTTGGTTTGAAAGGTCTTGAGTTACCAACCCAGTTTTAACATCATCGCTTCTTCCCCACCACCCAATTAAAAACACAAACAAAACAAATCAAAACAACAACAACAAAAAGCCCAACCCCAAGCCATTGTAATAAAGGGAGCAAAAGGCAAGTCTACAAACACTCCACCAGCTGGTTACAAGAAAGTACCATACAAAAATAAGCACTGGCAAGTTCCTTCCTGAGGGTATCTTTTGTTACACGCGCAACATAAAAACACTTTTTATTTCAAACGAACAAAAACAAACCCCAAACTGTCGATGTCGATTTTATTTCAGTCATGGCTTTACGAAAGGTTTGGTCTACCAGGAATACTTGTACAAACCCTTGCCTATGTACATCTACCTGACCCACGCACACCAGCAGCACCCAGACCTGCAAGCTGCAGCCACCGCAGGGTTCGGCAGCCTCGAAGCACACCAGGGCTGTGAGGGGCGCCCGGCTCACAGCTGAGCTGCAGCACCCTGGGATCCGACAGGCACCACGCCGACCAGGTCCTCCCAGTCCTTACAGGAACACCTGAAAGTTCGTAACCCCTCTAGCGGTGGGATAATCTCTTGTGTAGATCACCCACAGAAATCCAGTCCCGGCTACAGAAATTCCCCTAGAATGGCACTTGGGGAGCAAACCCAATCTCTCCCAGGGAAAATCCGGTTTGCACAAAGTAATTGCTACACAACACTCGCCAAAATATTATCCCCTCCAGGACTGGTACCATCAGGTAGGGGGCTGACTTATTCACACAGTTTACTCCTCTCTCTGTGGTCTACCCAGGCTTCAAACTCTAGATCCTTCCCTTCTGAGCAGGCATCTAGTACATGACACTGAACAAAGTGGTATTAAATGCTGCAGTGATGGGTGCTTTTCACATACCTGCTATAGAAAGATGGAGATTACCATATCTGTAAGCTAGGAGCTGAACTAAGGACATTTTCTTAACACCACCCCCTTCAGAAGTATTTTAGGGCTTGCAGAGGGAAGGACAGGCCATTTAAGTCTACCAAAATAGTGTCTACGTTCTCGCACTGACAGACTTGGATACTTCCAGTTTAGTGTTCAGAATTGGCAAAAGCTGCAGAAATTCTCAGCAGCAGAAGATGCTGCCTTGCTGGAAGGTGCAACAGGGGGAACACTGTAGGTTTACTGCACATCTCAAGAGATGTGATGAGGCTGTGCTATAGCTTCCACATCGCACCAAGCACTCCTGCAAATTACCACACAGCCTCCCCTGGAGCTGACAACACAAGGATGCGGTCCCTCAGCTAGGACTGTCACGTCCTGCCATCTCATACAGGTACACGGTTCTGCTCACGTTTACCTTGCAAGAGGAAAATAAAAGGCAGTGACTGTGTTAGCCCTTGGATCCACAGACCAGGGGTGCTGCTCCAAGGAAAGCGGCTGGCTCTGTTCGGCAGCCTGCTGGCAGAGCTGTCCCAGAGCCCTCCCAAGTGCACGAGGGAGAATTAAACACCCTGCTAAGAGATGAGCTGCTCTTTTAGGATTCCACTGCTAGCAAACGATTGAAAGGATGATATTTGATCAACTAAATCACTCAACCTAACTATCTGCACCCTTTTTTTCAGACTCCGGCCTGCCTGGACACACTTCACTGTTGGCAAGTGTAGCTGGAAGCTGCTATTGACTGGAGCCATGAGGCCTGGGGGGAAAGCTGTGGAGCTGGGACGAGGGTGGCTCCATCAGTTGTGCACCCTGAGCACCCAACAGCCCGGCTGCTCGGTGCCACTCCGAGTGCCGCGGCCCACGGCAAGCTACCTGGCAACACCCCGAATATGTTTCAGGAGATTTGGTTTAGGGACGCTGAAGCTGTCTTAGCTTTCTTTTGCAATGGCCTACCTAGAAAAGGGGAATGGGGAGCATTTTAGGCAAAAATCTCTAGCACTGTTACATTCATACATTCCTTTCAACATTATTATCTTCTTGAAACCATGAGGTCCGATTTTAAAATGCTGGTCACCAGTGATTACAAAGAACAATAGAAACGAAAGAGCAACCCTCCCACAATGAAAGGTCTAGTGTTAAAACCCACGTGTGTGTAAACTCACTACAGATTTGCAACTGGAATCTGATGAAATGGATCTGAATCACTTTCCCACCCTCTCCCTCTCAGTCCATTTCATCAGCAAATCAGGTTAAATCAAATGGAAGTTGTTTGTTTTTTTGAATTATTTTGCTTTTTTTTTGTGTTGCGTTTTGTTTTCCTTTTTTCACAATTGTACTGTTACAGCCTGATCTGGTTCTGGGACCACAATTTGTATCCCTGCGGCTTCTCCTCAGTCCATGGAACTGGCGAGTTATTGGGAGGAAGCTTTTGTCGCCAATGTAGCGACGCAGTGCTGCTGGAAGCTGGGGGACACTGCCGAGTTGCAGCCTAGTCTCTGGTGTTGCAGTTTTACTGAGCTGTTGGTCTCGCTTTCCACAATCCAGGAGGAGTCTTTTCCCATGACGCTGAGGCAGCCCGTGCCCGCGCAGCATATCCGCTCGTCCATGATCCCGCCGGTCTGCTCAGCCAGGAGCTTGCTGCGGTTTAGCTGGGTCACCTCGGGTACCTGACCCTGCAGGACAGCAGCTATGTGGTTCAGGAGATCTGTGAAAAATTCCGAAACGCCCTCGTAACCTGAAAAGGGAGAAAAAGAAGCAGAGAAAAAAAAAGGCAATTAAAGCATTTCCATAAGTTCTCTGAAAGGCCTCTTCTACCAGTTTATTTCTTGGGTTTTCCTTGCCCTGCAGCTTATCATAAAACGACTTTTTTTCCATGATGTCCCTGTGACTGAAAGCAATCCAAGTCCAGGTTTTTCCCTAACTTACAAGCTCTGTGGTGTAACACTGATCTTCTGCATCCTGTTCCAGGATACGCTGCAGAGACTGACTCTAAAGCACATTTTCCCTGAGGGTCTGGACCTTCTCTAAAATTTCCCAACAACGCCCCCAGTTAGGGAAACCTCAGAGAATAGCTCAGCATGCTTTACACCCTACAGAAAAGGCAGTGGGAAAGAAGCAGTGTGATGCTTGTCTAATCTAACCTGCCTTGGCACTTAAAATATGTTCCCCACTAGAACAATGTCTGAAAAAAACACTCAGGGGACACTATGCACATGTCGATGATACAGTATTTGGTAGAAACACCAGGATTTGTTTTCAGCACTGAAACCATATTTCTACATGGTTCTGTTATGAGATTCCAGACAATTTGCACTGCAATTTAATAACTATTTCCTGGTTTAAAAAGTTGGTCAAATACCTGAAGATACTACATTTTTCGTGATAAAAAGGGGGGTGGCAGGTGTGCAAAGCTTCCACTTCCATTTTAAACACTCTGGTATGGGCGCAGTTTTATCATTACATTCATGTTAAAACTGAATGAGACACGCACTGTGTCCGTACAGTGTTTTGCAATAGATCATAACTATTACTGCATTAACTGCAATTGGCATCAATCTGATTTCGTATTTAGAGGTGACACGACATGCAGTGTATTTGATGGGCTAGGCTGATTGTTTTAACATGTCTATAGAAGTATTCTGCAAGTGACCCAATATTAGGACAGGGGACTGAAGCAATAAATAACAGTTTAAAAGTTCCATGTGAATAGCACACATTCAAACAGATAAGCACATGAGCAGAACCAGAGACCACAAAGTAAATGTATATTTTAAAACACTTTTAGTGACGTGATCGCAGGGCAGAAGAGTCCCTGAGAGCCATAAATAATTCAGCTTTAATCTCCCTTCTCCTGTAAAAGCCAAATTCCTTTGGCAGTAATAAACCAACTTCCTGAAAAACACAAGGTAAGAGGATAATTTAACCTTGAGATAAATGTGGTGGTTTCATGGTGTATTTATAACTCATACATTAACCAATTAACTCTTATTTAGGCTGCTACATTGCTTTGGATTTTACTGCACTCGACTGTAATTCTCCTAGGTACTTTGTAACAGGTCTCATATGGTTTGTGTGACAACAGCTCCCCGTTTTCCTTTCTCAAAGATCCTTCAAGAAATTCCCCAAACAAATCAGCCATTAAAAAAACTTAAAGTTTCCCAGTGCCCCCCCATAACCCATCCATCAGGGACAACCGGGGCTCTCGTGGCCAGCCAGGGGAGCCAGAACAAGATCTCCACCTCTTTGACAGAGGTGCTTGTTACACTTTCTTGCTTATGTAAAAGCCATGGGATTAGCCTTCAAATCTACTCAGAGTGCTTCCAGCTCCCTGGGAATAAGCCATCTCCATAGTAACAGCTTTAATATTCAGCGAGGAGACCCACAGTACCCTAGTGTTTCATGTCTGCTCGGTGAAAACAAGCCAGCCTTGTTTGAGGGCACACGGCAAACTCACAAAGAAGTTACATTAAATATTTACTGGGAATAAGGTGGCTAGTTATCCAGTCCTGAAAGCAGCAGATGCTACAGAGTACGGACGCATATATACATTTGAGGCAAGCTTCCTCTGTGCTGGCCTGCTGCACACTGGGTGGAAAGGCCCAAATAATTCTGCTTGGTCACTGAGAAGAAAGTTCACACCATTAAAAAAATATATACAGGGAAGGGAGGAAGAGAACCAGGGTGTCTCAACTCTTGAGTCACGATATGGGGAAGGCTGCAAACTCTGTTGGTATTGCCTCACTCTCTTCACTGGCTGCTGCTGCAGATCTTTCAAAAACAAAGATCTTCAGGGCTGAATTTTGCTATGACGAAAAGTCTCCAGAGTCCTCTGGCAGGGCATGGATAGGAAGGAAGTCACCCAGCAAACACAAATGAAAACAGGTACCCTGCACCTCTGAGCTCTGCAGAGTCAAGAAATGTCTGTGGGCACTGTTACGCTAGTGCTGGAGATGCTGCACACCTGACTGGAACAGCCCTTCCTTGGCCTGGCACCCACTCTGGTTTTCTGCACCTTGGGCAGAGAGAACTGGAGAGCCCGGGGCCTGCCCTGGCAGCAGCATGCCCACACACACAGGGAGCACGTCCGGATCTGATGCTTCCAGCTGCCAAATATAAGCACAGAGCCAGAGGGTCACACGTCCTGGTGACAGGCAGCTGCTCGGGCTCAGCGAGATCCCCAAGGGATCCCCAGCCGCTGCGACACAGCAGTGGACCCCACGGAGCCTCTTCTCTCCGTTACCTGAGGTCACAACACAAAATCCATGCACTATGTGCCTAGGCCTGCAGTTCAATATTTCAGCTGGTAACCACAGCTAAATATAGCCCAGGCGGTTTCCTACAGAACAGCAGACACAATAGGCCTTCTGGGCATTTATCTTTAAAATCTTTTTGAGGCGTGGCTGGTGCTAAATGAAGCAGATAACAAATAACACCCTCCTACGGGTACACCTTGCTGTATGGCAGGCAGCTAACCACCACAGAGCCACTCATTCACTCCCTCCCTCCCCTCCGCAGTGGGATGGGGGTGAGAATCAGAAAAAAGCTAAAATTTGTGGGCAGAGACAAAGACAGTTTAATAGGACAGAAAATGAAGGGAAAAAAATATTAATGACAAAAGAATATACAAAGCAAATGACGCAATGTGCAACTGGGGTGCAGCAGCACCCCGGTCTTATTGCTCAGCACATCCTCACGTGGCATGGGGCATCCGTTTGGCCAGTTTGGGCCAGCTGTCCTGGCTGGGTCCTCTCCCAGCTCCTTGTGCACCACCAGCCTGCTCACTGGCAGAGCAGTGTGAGAAGCTGAAAAGTCCTTGGCTTAATGTAAGCACTGCTCTGCAACACCTAAAACAGCGTTATTAAAACAGCAGTGTGTTATCAGCATTATTCCCATCCTAAGTCCAAAAGACAGCACCATACCAGCTACTGGGAAGAAAATTAACTCTACCTCAGCCGAAACCAGGACACATCTGCTCTAAATTCTAACGTTACATAATCTCAAGATGACATCCATGGATTGGCAGGTTCAAATGAGCTTCAAACCTGATAGACACAAAAGACAGCAGAAAGGAAGCCAATCCCCTGGGAGCTGGACGTGGCTTTGTTCAGGCCTGCCCTGTGCTGTAGCTTGAGCTCCATGAAAGAGGCTTTGAATGCTCCTGAAAGGGCACCTCTTCCTCTCCCTCCCCAAAATGCCGTGGTGCATTGTAATGTAACAGGTCCCCAGGGGGTCTAACTTGGCTCCAATTTGGCTCTTCTGCAATCCTTGCAGGACAGGATGACCTGAGGAGGAGGAATGAGGGAAAGGCCCTTCCTGAGACTGCAGTGAGCCAGGAACAGCGTGATCCCACTGCTGACACAGCCCATCGGGGACTCTTTTGAGCAGGGCTGCATTTCAGCTGCTCATTTACAAGGTGCTGACTTCATTGATGAAGTCAGTCCTTGAAGCTGCTCACCCTCAAATCAAACTAGCCCCTGGAGCAAAATGCATCTGCCTGGCCTGAATGTGCCTTTGAGCAGCAGGATATTCCATGTTGAGATATAAATTTTCTTCGCCATTGTATTTTACCCTGTTACTTCTCTTCTGATGCCAGCAGCCCTTAAAAGCACCTCATCTCTCAGTTCTGCTATCTTCTACAGATTTTAAGACCCCCAGCATTCTCTCTTCCACATGTCTTGTTCCTGCTGCTATCCTCTGGACTTTCTCCAACTGGTCTTTAACACCCTACTCCATGGTGATAAAGCCAGTAGATACCTTCACTACCCACGTGTTCACCACCCCAAAACCAAAAAAAATCCTGTGTGATACCCAATGTAGAACTGTCCACAAGAACCTATCCTGTGCTTTCAGGTATCTTGAAAGGGCTCTATTAAGTTGACGTCTCTTCAAGGTCCAATTATTGTGCAGACTGAAATGCAGGACTTGGGTTGAGTATCAAAAACTATTGCCTTAGGGTAGAAGTACAGCAGAGCATGAGCATTACAAGGCGACATTACTCCTCTTTAAATAGTTAAGTTTGCCACTAGCTGCCCCCCAGTCTGGGCTTTTCACCATTTCAAGAAAAGGTGAAGTTCAGTCTGTGCAAAGTACCAAATCCAGAACAATACTCACAAATAAAACATAACCCCATCAACAGACTGCAAAAAATGAATGCAAAATTCAGGATTGCAGGGGGATGTCTTACATTGCTGACTTCAATACCCAGTGTCTGAAATATACACCCATTCATAAAACAGATTTGGCTCCATCTGACACCTAATTTAGGTTGTTTCACTGCTCATGACAGAAGAGTTTTCATAGATTTGCAGACTGCATCAACACCGTATGGTAGAACCAAGCAGCAAAGTGACCTTAGAACAGCAGGGCTGGAGGAAAAAGGAAGCCAGTCACTGTAGAGACAGGCAAGACACAACAGGGCAGCACTGGGACTGAGGACTTGGATTGGTGGATCAGGGCAGGCTTTCTAGTGTAAAGATACCTCAGCCACATTGAAAATTCAATCTTCAGGGACAGCTTAAACTATGTGAGAGTCTGCCTGTATCTCTGGAAACAAACAAGACTATTCAGGTAACAATACAAGATTCTCAAAGAGAAAAAACTCATGCAAAACACCATTAGATGAGATAATCTTTTTTTGTGATAGACAAGAATCCAACACAAGTGACAGAGCATTATTGTTTCCTATTATACACACTTATAACTCCTTCTAACAATTCCAGTGGTCAAGGAGTTTGTTTATCTGTTTCCAAGACATATATTGCACTAACAAAGAGGAGGACAAATTTATCCATTTTCACAAGGTGTATTCTATTGTTTTACTCCAGGATTCACCTATATGCAAGGATATTTAAACCTTTATAGCAGCTTCTGTGAACCTGCAATTTTATCATCTTCCTCAGATTCCTGGTACTGCTTTTGTTCACAAAAAGTGTTTTCATGGGGAATCAATTTGCACAGGAATAAATTTTCTAGGGAACAGTTTGCTGCTTTCACCCCCTCAACACTTTTATTGGCTCAAAGTCTGGAGAAAAATAATCTCAGAGGCTCTCTTAAAATATAATGTATTATTCCTCTCTTCAGAATGAGAGACAGGGCTAGAAAGGTCAGGTCCCTGCACAAAGTCCATGCTCCAGTTCCTGGGCGACTCCAGGGAAGAGCATGGAAGTCAAGTTTCAGCCAGTCACTAAACGTTGACTGTGTATCCTAAAAGCTATTATTTCAGTAGCCTGTTCCACGTCTATGTTAGGGTTGTGCCCTTGCTAGATTAAACAGTGTCTGATCTCAGGATAATTTTGCCTGCTGCTCTCCCTTTCCCCACCTGGAAAGCACTGATGTGAGACACCAGCAGCAAAACTTCACAGTAAGCACACACTGCATGGCTTTGGCAAAGCATGAGTGGAAGGGCCTTTCTCACCTGGGAATGCATTTATATCAATGACTGCATGCTGCCCGGTCTGATTGTTAATGATGATATCAATTCCAAAGAGGGAAACTCCCAGAGCTTGTCGCAGTGCCTTCGAGATTTCCCGGATGACGTCGTCGTTTGGCCGCTCAAATACTCCTTCGATTTTATCCAGCTATAGTGGAAAAAGACACATTACTAAGGGACTCTGAAACAGTCTTCTCAATGGAAAGACCAAATTTCATTTTTCAGGTGTACATCCACCAAATCTAATTGCAGAGAACTGGTGGCATGAAACAGAAAGAAACAAAGAGAAACTTATTTTGTAATTCGGAATCCTACGTGTACCAGAAGTTCACCATCTCTAGAGCACCTAGCTCGTTATTTCTTATCCGTGCAGTTCCTTGAACGACATGTCAGTGTAGGAATCAATGGAGAATCACTATTTTAAGTACTACATCTTAATCTTAAAAAATAAAACCAGCTGACCAGTTTAACCCTGTGCTGCAAACGCTCTGGATATCAATCTGTTATTTCAACGTAGATTAAGGCCTATGTTGAAGGACTGGTAAGACAGACTCCTTCTACTAGTTTCATTTGAACCATACAGAACAACCCAGCTGGTATCTTCAAGGCAGCAGCTAATTCAGAGAGCAGCTAATTCAGCTAATCTTTCATGTGAGTTTTCATCTCTAAGTTATTCTACAGACATCTATTATTAAGAATAACTCAGGTTACTTATGACTGGAAGATGTCATTTTTTCATGTTTTAAACAAGACTTTAGGCAGCAAAAGTATATGTATGCCTACAGAAGCATGTAGGGAATATGTATGTGTATGACAAGAGTGTATATTCTCCCTAAGTTTAAAAGTAGATTAACCTACAGAAGGATTTACGACTAGCACAATTACAGCTTTAAAATTTAACATGCCCATCAGTCATTTACACAACTTAAATTTAATCATTACTACTACCAAAAGTACTCCCAAATAGAGCTTGTGAAACAGAAAAGAATCTGGAAACTCAGAGATTTAAAGGACCCAGTCCTGCAAAGTGACTTTCACAGCAGTTGAGTACCTTAGGCCTTATTTGGATTCATACATACAAAACTCATTACAAGGACTGGTAATACAAGCATTAAGGCATAGCACCTGCTTGCACTGTGGGACTCAGAAGACCCCCAGAAATGGTCCTCTGGTTGCAGCTCAGCAAAGCTTGCACTGCAGCCATTTACTGTCTGTCCCTCTGTGGTTGTGCCCAATGCAATTTCTCTGCTTGAATTTTCACCATTTGTCTTTCCTCACAGAACTGAGTCCTAAAAGGCTGATTTATGCTTATGAAGCTCTCTGGACAGGAAAAGGGCAGACATTTATATTCAGAAGCTTCCTCTTCCCTTTGTCTAGATTAGATTTGGGGAGTTTAAGCCTGGTGAGCAGCAGACAGGCCTGTATCAGTGCTTCCTCACCAGAGCTCGGTAAGGAATACCAGAGGGACACACAGTCATGCTGGTTCGTTGTACCAAACAGACCTCAGCCTGCAACACAGAAGCAGACAACTTGTGAAGGAGAGTTGCTAGCTACTGATGCTTTGATAAGAAAGGACTAGATAGTTTTTCAGCCAGTGACAGAACAAAAGAGATCAAGTGTACTTACTGCTGTTAAGACAGATGATGATTCTGGCTTTGAGACATTGTGGCTGTTGAAAAATATCGATTCTCTGTCTGGAATTAAAAGAAGGTTGTAAATAACTTTATAGTGGATTTTAGTATCCCAAGAATTAGTGCAAGGAACAGTAGATGGCACTGCAGCCCAGGGAACCCGGACTTGATCAATACTGGGCAGTCCCCTGCACCATCCACCTGCAAGCCCGCTCATACAACTTGGCTGTGAGCACAGGCAGCAAACCATGGCCCTGGCCAACCATGGTTTCCTGGACCTCAGCTTACAGATAAAGAGAACTATAAGGAGTTAACACAAACCAGTTTTGATTCCTCCACCAAAGTCAATTCATAATGAAGTTAAATTTCTACTAATTTGATACATTCAACGTGGCATGGGAAGGCATGCAATAGAAAAGAAAAGCTGCTGTCACAGCACGCAGCAGACTGATAGCACCCAGTTTACAGTGAGGGCACTTTTGCTGTGGAGGAAGGCAGGAAATTTTATTGTCTGGACCTGACCTCCTTTTGGAAGCACCTTAGGAATGCAGGAGACACCCTGAGGTGACCAAAGCCACTAATGTACCATGGTGGTACCATGAGGAGAATTGCACCGACACCTTCCTTTCCACTCCATCTGCCCTGGAGGTTTATAACACCACCAGCATGTACTCTTCTTGCCTCTCCTCCTGTCTAGAAAGGCCCTTATGCTTTCAGACAGTCAGCTCCTGGGAGTGCCTCACAGCCACCAGATCTGCCTCATTGTTGGACCTGCTTCATCAGGTGCCTGTAGTGCAGCCCCCTTGGGACTCCCAGCTGTATGGGTAAGCCAGACACTTGTCCTAATCTGCCCACAAAACTTCTTTTTGTGTGGGCTTCCAGACAACTTTAAAGTCTGACACTAACTGATGAGACATTAGCAAAGCCATTTTTAGAAAGAAGCCTTAACATGTTCTCTTCCTGCAAAAGTACAGACCAACTGTCATGGTACTTGATGTGAGCACAGCTCCAGGCCTACTTCATTTGGTTAGGACACTCAGCATGCCTAAAACACCACACACAGCTACAGACAAGGCCTTTGACCAGGATCCTACTGAACCCCACTTAAACTAAGTATGTGCTCATGTGTGGAACACAATAGTGAGCACACGCTGACACATTAAGATCAGCAGAAACACAAAGAAAAGTGACAAGACCCTGGCACTTGTTCATTTCCTTCAGCTTGCAACCTTCCCCTCCCTCCACCACCTGTTGGATTTGTACAGGACTCCGTCCCCTGAGAGCTCTGAGGGGCACTAAACACCTTGTGTTTGAGGGGCACCAAACACCAAACACAGCCTGCGTATGCTCAGGGACTGCTGTGAAGAGATACACATATATAGGAGGGTCACTGTCCTTACTGACAAGTCCCTTCCTCCTGCCCTCCAACGCAGCTGGTATCCACACACCAAAGGAAGCTTCCCATTAGGGTTTACAGCACTGGGCCTCACATGTACAGAGAGGCTCAGTTAGGGGAAAGCACAAGTGATCTTTAATTTAAACACACATAAATAATCAAGGTAAAAATAGGGAGAGGAAGTTCTGAAGCGATAGAATCCAGGAAATTCTCTCCAAAGCACATTTATAAACAAACTCCGGAACAAATGACATATGAACTTACTGTGAAATTAGAGAATTTCTCTGTCTCCCCCCTTTCACATGACATAAAACACTGTTTCTAACAGGTAAGACTCAGGTTACTGTTACATAAATATTTACTATATGAATGTCATTTATATAAATTCCAGAGCCCGTGAGTTATCTCCCTTCCTAGTGAAATACTACAGAAGAGGTAATATGGTATATAACAACCAGATGCATTTATTTCAGCATCCTTTTCAAAGGTTTTTTTTGGAGATGTTCATTGCTAAGGCTGTAAGAACCAACATTTCATTTCAGATTGGTCCTGACGTACCTGAGATTCCAGCAGAGAAGTTTTTCAAAGATGGTCTCTTCACCACCGTGTAGGATTCCCCGACCACAAACACTTTATACAGCACAGCGTTGTGATTGATGAAGCTCTGAATGACACAAGGGGGGCGGACAGCCTTCAGGCCCTCCTGGTTGAAGATGATCGCCATCTGAAAACACACACACACACAGTTGTGCACAAGCCTTTGAATAAATTCACATATTCCACCAAGCAGTGAGGGGGAACATCTACCGCTGGATATATATTGACCAAGGGTGAATCCCTTCTCAGCAGCTCGTACTATTTCATTACATTTCATGTCACTGACAGGTAACTCTCGAGGCACAACTGGCCCTGTAGCTTTCACTTTCAATGACATTTTTTTCTCAGCTCTCTGAGATTTCATTTACCCACTTCTAGTCAGGACTGCTACTGCACTTGCAGGTTTTTAGAAGAACAGAAATGGTAAAACATTTGATGTGTACTGCCAACAAAGCCTGCATCAGACACAAGCTTGTATCACCAGAACAACAGAAGTGCAAATGAGCAGGTCAGTGTACTAACAGTACAAGTTCTTCTCTGCAGCTGTATCCTGTAGATTGGTGCAGTCCACTTGCAGTGTCCTAAGCCACAGGATTTCACCCACATCGTCAGAGAACTTTTTCCACCACCTAGCAGTTCTTACTAGTAGCAAATGCTTGTGCCAATGATATTCTTGGCTTGGTTTCACCTCATTATTCCAAATGTATAGTCACCATGAAGGGACTGGAAAAAATATGCCAAAAAGGAAGTCATTTCTAGGGCCGTAATGATGAACACCAGCTGCCTCAAACAACCGAAGTGATGCTGGTAGGTGCAGAGGAGTACAAGCCAGCATATCTTCAGCACGTTACACTGCTCTTTGCATAGATCCTTCTACCAGCATGCTTACATGCATGTTAAATTATCATGAACACGGTGCCCTGTCTTGAGGTTTGTTGTTGGGGTCCAAATGCAGCCATGGCTCCGATGCAAGGACCGGCAGCACAAGCTGATGAAGTCACTTTATACCCGTGTGCCCCTCAACAGCAGCAAGGATAAACTTAGGTTTGTTCTCAATCCTCCAAACCCTAAAATAGCTATGCTCTAGTTATCTGTACATGGACCTCTCTTCATCATTCCAGTGACACTGGGCCTCGTTATCCACAGAGGCAGAAGGGAGTTTTGACAGTCAGGTCAGTGTGAGTAAGGACTATCCAAGGTGAGACAATCTGACGTAACGTTTATCTTCCTTTCTTTTGAGCAAAACTGCCTCCCAAAGCTACAGATGCTTGGTTAGAGCACCTTCCTCCACTGAGGAGCTGTCAAGACAACAGTTAACCTTCCATTTTTTGTGCCTGCACCAACCTCATTAAGTGCAGGATGCCCACCACTTGCCAGAAATACTCCTAAGCTCTGAAAATGAGTTTTTCATCTGTGTCAGTATTTTCTCACTGGCCTCCTTGAGCCTAGTATTTCATTTGGGATGTGAGACAGTCCAGAGAGGCTAAGAGAACTCCTCTGGGTCCCACAGTGACTCCATGGCAAGATACAGAATAAAACTGGAGCTTCCTGCCTCAGCACAGGTACAGGTGAGTTATCTTTCCACATGCTTCCTGTCAGTTTTCGTGCCTTCTGAGATCAGCTGCATCTTAGTGAAGTCAGAGTCACTGGAAGGATTTTACAAAGAAACTCTTCCACTTAGTGCTCCCTCACTCATACTTTGTAACATGTAAGATCAGCTGCTCATTTGCTGTACAGCATACTGTCAGACTGAGTTCTTGCTAACACCTTTGCTCCTGTAATAAAAATAGTAAATATAACAGGTTTGTTGTTCAAAAATATAGCCATGGTAAGTGATGTAGTGACTACACATTTATAGTTAAAAGTCTAAGCACATTTTTATCTCTACCTGACTATTTATTATTCTGTTTTCCTCCTTATCTGGCAGACCACTTATGATCACATAATTGTCTGCAAGCATGCACAATGACTCAGTAGATTAGCATTTTCTGAGTTCAAGTCAGTGTGTGCATTCAATGAGTACGCGCAGCTGATATTCTCACTCTGTCTCTGTTATACCTTGTGCTACCTGGCTGACACACAGACTGAATGTGTGAGTGGTAACAACCTGTGCAAGAAACCCACTCTAGCCAGCAGAATTGTCCCACAAGATGATTCACAGCCATAACACCGTAACTCATTTGTTTCTCACTGGTAGCAAGAACCGCTGTGCTTTTCCTCCTTGTGCACAGACTGCTCATTTTATAATATCTACAATGTCACACTGGTATGAACTATATTGGTCCTAACCTTCAAGTACTCTCTGCAAATATTAGTTAATTAATTCCTGCAAGCCACTGCTTTGAAAGACAAGCAGGTACTTATCACCCTTTTTTTGTGGGTGTGGAAACCCCAGATATTTATCTGCTCAGTACAGAACCAACCCAGTGGAAAACCACTGTGAAACCTTTCTTCTGCAGAGCTCTGTGCTGACAGCCCTGATGGGCTAGCACACAACCCATCCAATCCCTATGGTGCAGTGTTGTGCTGGTTCACTGTGATGTCTCATGACTTTTAGCATGCATGAATACAGCTCCAAGAATCTGCTTGCAGGGTGCCCTTGCTCTTTGTCATCTAGCACAGACCTGCTGTCTCTGGCAGTAACATGGGAACAACACTTTATATCATAATTTCCAAATGGCATTCCTCATTATAGATGCAGAGTTCTTTTGAACGCAAAACAAAACATTTGGCACCAAGAAATATTACTGACAATGTCCTTAAGGAATTCAGTCTGAAAAAACAGAGTGATTCTCTGCTTTTTCATTCCTCCCTGCTCCACATTTAGAAGAAGAGCCATTCTGGACACGCTTCTTCAGGTTATGGGTCCCAGTGATTTTTCACAGCAGGTTTACCAAAGGGCAGTTCTATTCTGACCTACCAGCAAAAAGGCAGGAGAACCTTTAGGAATCATTTTGGTTCAATTCTAACAGAAATGGTGTTGGCAAAGCAGGGCTCAAGTGCTGTGCTGGCTGCATGCGACTTGGAGCGCAGAGGCCACGTGGAACTGCGGGACACCACCAGCAGCCCAGTTACCAGCACCTTGGCTTAGCTAGCTTGTGCCTTCACAGCGAGACCTGACATCTGCTAGCCAAAGCTGGCACCAAGCCCAAACCGAAGCCTATCCCCTCCAGCTGTGCCTGGTAGCCAGTACTGGATCTTTCTGAACAGGCATCTTAGGAAGAAAAGCAAGTCTCTGGCCAGGCTGGGTTCTAGCGTCAGTGTCAGCTTTGCAGTGGGAATCTCTCTACAGAAAATTAAGCAATTTACTAGAAGTAAAGGGAGAAGCCATTATTAAAACAGGCAACAATTTCTTGCTCCCAGACCCATGGTCCATCTTTTAGACAGACTCTATTTAAGCAGACTATTTATTCTATGCTCCCCTTGTCATTACTGTCCATAAGACAGTATTTATACAACAGATCCTCTCTGATCATAAATACATTTATGGATCACACCTGAGAACACAGCAACTCCAAAAGTGATGACTACTACTACTAAATATGTAAAGTACCATGCAAGACTTCAGGCTTTTTTTCAGGGGACTCTCATAAACTCTAGTTATACGTTCCTGTGATAAAGTGCAGCCTGCAACTATATTTCAGCCTAATTTTTGCTCAGAAAATGGAATTCTGACAGAAGGCTGCAGTATGTCTGCACTGTATAAAGGAACAGCAAGTAAATATTCACCAGGAAAATGGAAGTCCCTGAAAGCTTCACACATTTCAGGGTGCAGACGCAGAGACAGAAAAACATCACAGAAAGCTACACAGAAAAATCAGCAGAGAACCCAGGGTTTTAAATTCATTAACGATCCACTCCCAAGTGCTCTCAGCAAAAATTTATAGCAGCTGCTCCAGCAAACTAACAGGGCTGTCTGTCATGCTTGTAAAATGATCCACGGTTAAGGCCTGAATGAAAAATCTAGCTGCATTTTTAAAAGTAAGTGCTGGTCATTCAAAATTTCAGCTGTAGGCATTCTGTTAATCTAGACTGACATTTCACTTCAGGGCCTTCAGTTTTCAGAGATGCTGCAGCAGCATACTGCACATTTCAGGAGCAGCTGGGAAACCTGGAACGATCACCACGCTGCTAACAAAGGAAGCCAGGCATTCTTAGAGCCAGCAGGGAGGGCAGGATTCTCAACACCGAGCTGTGGTACGCAGGAAGGCAGGAAGCACAAATGGAAAAGAATTAAATCAGGACTCGGCTCGGCTAAATTTAGGGGAAGCTAAGCTCACGGAGAACGCACTCCTTCCAGGAATACAGAATGATTTTAACTGCAGTTGCCTTACGGGAATAAGGGAAAGCAGATAATTCTAGCAGCTCTGTCCTTCCCACAGCTCCAGCCACGTTATTACGACTGAACGTGCCTGGAAACAGCCACTATTTGCTGTTCCCTTCCCCACAAGGAGAGGAACCAGCCTGCCTTCACTCACACCTGTGCTTCATCTGCAGCACAAAACCATTTCTTATCAGTACCACATACACGTTGGAGGGAAACATCGCAGGGTGAAAACGTGCACCCCTTAGTGTAACCTCCCACCAAAAGCAAGGCTGATGAAGGAGATGCCTTGCAGACAGCTTGATTGGAGACTAAAAGCTGCTAGAAGGAAAAAAAACTAGACCATGGAAACTTGAAACTGCTAGAAAGAACTTTTATGTCAAGAGGTTAAAGTCAGATTTAGCTACATTTCAGATAAATTTGAAAAAAAATAATGGTGTTATTAAATCCAAGGGAGGGGCGGGGGAAGGAGAATGGTTTGGGCATAGCCTTCATTCTGCCTGCTACAGGATCAGAGAGCACCAGACAAATCACCCTGAGGGAAGGGGAAGCAGGGGGAAAACACTGCAATGTTTTTTTTAACTCACCTCATGAGAGTTGGTTCCATGGGCCACTCTGGTTTTACAAACTGGATAAAGATAAAAGAAAAAAAAAACGCACCACTGAGACAGGACACACAAAACCTTTACAAATCCATTCCCTCCCACTCCTACAAACACTGAGTTCACCAGCCCAAGGCACTGACTGTACCAGATAACACTGACAGCCTCTGCCTCAACAGCATCCTCAGCCACTGCAAAGCTTGGCTTGCTCCAAGCCCTCCTCTCTCAACTCCTCTTGCAACCGACGTGCAAACAGAGGTCATTTGTGGGACTGGACAGATTTGCAAAGCATCAGCTCAGGAGTTAGTACCACTGCTGGTACTGCCACCCTTGCCCACTCAGAGGGCTTCCTCACAAGTCTGGGGTTCTGCCTGAGGCTAGAGCTATTTACATGTAGCACAAAAACCCACTGTCTTGGAAACAAGGGAGCTGGGAGACAGTGGAAACCAACTGCTTTTCCTGCTTCCCTGTTCCTGGGGAAGGATAGGAAAACAAACGGTCTGAACCCAACTAAGATACAACATGTTTTTCACAGGCAACTATAAAGGGGGACAAAGAAGTAGAAAGAGTCCTGCAGTTCTGCTTTCTCCTGCATATTTAGTATCTGCTCTGCATATTCTGGTTCTCATCTCCTTACTAAAACTGGTAAGGGGGGAAGAGAGGGAAGAAAATCTACGGTCTTGCTGTTATGAAACCAGGAAAAAGCTGAAGGTCCCAGGAGCTGCAGGATGAGTAGGGCTGATGGTATTTATATGTTAAACAGAGGAGATAAAACTTGCATGTGGTAAAGGGGTGGATAAGACAAGACTTCTTTGGGGATTGCTGGAAGAATAAAACTGCCAGGCAAGAGGACAGGCAGCTATGAAAGGCAGATGACCTGCACTGGAGTCCAAAATAAGTCATAACTGGAAATTTTGGAAAGTGGTGCATGATGTCTCACAGACACATGCTCTGGAAAGCAGGAGAGTTTAGGGGAAAAAAAAATAGAAAGAAAACCAACAAGAAGCAGGAAAAAGCACTCCCACATCACTCTTGTTATTTTATAATTTTATCATGACTTAGAGGGATTGATCCAGGCCTTCTGAGTACGTAGGCTATGCTGTTTGATACAACACTGAGAAGACAGTGCACATAGGGTGAGGAGGGGGTGTCAAAGCCATTCAGGGAGCTCTAAAGTACTGCTTTGCAATCTAGCTTGAAGAGATCTGTCTGTCTCTTTTTGGAGAGCAATGGCAGCAAGGGCAAAACATGCTTTTTCCACACAACTTTACCTCTGAACCTTACAAATGAGGCAAACACCAAGGGAACAAACACCGACTAACCAATTCAGCTCACTTTATACTGCAAAGAATCAGATAAAGGAATGAATTTAAGCACAAGTTCTACAACAAAACCTACTAAAAAGCACAAACAGATCACAGCAGCTGTTTGAGACTGTGGGCCTTTGGTGCCTGTTAACTACGTTTTACATTCTTTCTTCTACCTTCTAATATTGTATTTGCAGCCTGGACCAGGGAAAGGAAGGAGTGGTGAAAAAAGGGGCAGCCAGCAAGGGAATGATTGTCACAAGAAAAACAATGAGCACAGCTGGCAGGAGAAACTTCTTACACAAGTTCAGGGCAAGAGGCTAACTTTGTTAGAACTATTAGCAAATCCCAGGAACACATGTTTACTGTAGAGAGGTGTTTAAAGTAGCGAACATCAATAAAAAGCTAAGTAAAAGCTTATAGGGAGGGATTTTGTTCCACATTCCAAGCAGACTGCTTCACAGCCATTTGCTTCAGGAAGGTTTTAACCTGTACACTTTGGCAGTGAACCACACACTTCTACAATGTTGGCCACAATGTTCCTGAGGGAGCATGTGCAATATTAAGAGCCTACCAGAAGCACCAATGAAAAACCCATTTACATACTGAAAGGGAATGCCAGTCCATTCTTCTCTATAAGCTGCATGGTATCTTCTCCACAGGCACTTGTCAGCTCCATGAAGGGTGGTGAACAGATCCTCTCATCTGCAAGACAAAAAGAGTCCACATGAAGATCAGGGGTTTACCTTCTCAGTCACATCATTACAAGCTATCTCCAGACGAACTGCTTCTTGAGAGTCTTGGCTATACTTTTACAGTCAATATTAAAGCATCAGAAAGATTATCAGTCAGTTATGAATTCTCAATTCTGAAAACATTTCAGAAGATGAAATGTCAATTTTCAGACACACTAAAATGGAAATACAAAGTCCACATCTTCTCAGGTAGGCAGGCATCACCCACTTAGGAATATGTAGCTGCACAAGACGTAACCAAGAAAGTAAGAAGCAACTGGGATCTTAGTTCTTAATATTATACCTACAAGTTGCATTTCCAAAGGCATCTTACAAAAACCTGTATGGTCAGCAAGTATGGCTGGAGCAGGCAGCCTCCCACAGCAATCCTTACTGTAGGCCCACTCAGGTGCCAGATTCCTGAGTGGGTTTCTTTCAGCAAAGGTGTGAGACATGCTTTACAACCCACTGTCCATTGAGACATCCCTGTCATGAAAGCAGTACCCATCTGGCCTGATAAAGCCAGAGTCAGAGCACCTCTTTCCACTGAAACAGGCAAAACTGTTCATTGGTCTTTGATAAAGGAGAAAAAAAAAAAAAAGCAACAACAAAGGAACCATGGTCAAATTGAATAGAGCAGTTCTGGTCCAGGGTGTTTCTGCTGATGTGTTTCTTGTTCAAATGAGGTTGTGGGATGGCTGCATTCAAAACTCAGCCCTATTAGTGATTCAGTAGGTTGAAATGCTCTAGGACTCACGTCCTGTTTGCTGTGGGAGAACTTTGATTCCTCTACACATGCAGCAGGAATGTGTGGAAAGCACTGTAGGACTCAAAGTGCTCAGCCATAAATCTCCACCTCTCAAGAGGGTTGGATTGTGATTTCCAGTGCAAAGAGAACTCTGGCTTCAGCCACAGCTCTGGGACAGGTTAGCGAGCCCAAAGACAAAAGCTTTGCACACACTGACAAATTTAAATCAAGGACATTGCCCGAGCAGGAGCAACCATTGAAGTTAACTTGTCAGCGAGCACAGTCTTAAAAATATTGTGTCCACAGGGTTTTAGCTATGGCCAGGTTGACTTTGGAGTCACAAATTAGTTATAACTGAAGTTAACTACACAGCATAGTGCCACAATTCAGACAGGGTCTGCCAAAACTCACTTGTAAGGCTTATTTCAAGGGACGCAGTGTGACACCTTGCTCCAAGAAGCAACCAGAGACAAGCAAAAATGATGGGAACAACTACGCCTAGCAAACTCAAGTCATGGGTTTGTATCGACCAGCAACTTGTCTTGAAAATAAGCAAAACAGGACTTAGTACCATCCATATCTACCCCAGTGAGCACAGAGAATCCAAACAGGTGGAAGCCACGCTGTGTACAGAAAGCGAAAAGCACATGTAAACTGAAACCCCAGCAAAACTAACTATATACTCTCAGAGTGCTGCACATCCGGAAACCACTTTATAAGCACTGTTTAAATTTATGTTAGTCACTTCATTTTAAGAATATGCTTATGCATTTTCTCGCATACAGAAGGGGAAATTGCAACGCTGAAAACAACAGAGAGGAAAACCTCTGTATTTTGGTATACATAGCTCAGTGCCTGCTTCAATGTTCTGAGAACATACAAGAACTCAGGACACTAGCAATGCTGTTGCCGCAAGAAGTCTTCTGTGAAAAGAGAAGTCTGTTTTCATACATCCTAAACGGAGCAGAAAGATTGATACTTTGAGGTCAACCTCTAAAAAGCTAAACAAAACATCCCAGACTTCAAAGTTTTCACTTCACTGGTATGAAAACAGAAAGCAGCATCCAAAAGTGACAGGTACTGTAATATTTACAAGCCTTTGCCAGAGCTAAAGTTCCTTAGCTGGATGAATTTAAGGAATCAGATTTAGTTTACAGATACTTGGGAACAACTTTGCCTTGGCAGCTCTCCTACCCATATGCTTAGGGTTCACAAATAACTTTGCCTTCAGAGTGGAAATGCAGAGGGATGTACGGTTCCATCTCACTTCCCAAGCAAACAGCAATCGGAGACAGGGAGGTTTCAGCGCTCCTGCCAATTACAGGACACTTGCATGGAGAGATGAAGGAAGGAGCAAACAGTAATCTCTTTGACTTTGTACTTAGAAAAGACCACCTGGATCAACAAAAATGAGTGGAGAAGACTCTTAGCATCTCAAAGTGCTCCTGCTGACTTTGCACAGCAATGGCATTTTCTCCACCAAGAAGGCAATTCTAGCCCACTAAAGCCTCTAAACCAGACTGTTAATTCATGGCCAGACCCGAGGACAAACAAACCCTCACTCAACCCAAGGTTTCAGTACAGCCTCCAGCTAGGAAGTGCTGCTCTGAGTTTAATTGCACACACCGCAATTCTGAAGGTAGCAGTCAGTTTAAAAAAAGCCCTCCAGCTGTCAGTAGTGATCCCTTCTTCCTTCTCCAGGTGGCAAACACACGCTGAAGCTCTCTGATCACCAGGATCCCACTAACAGTGACTGCAGTCTCAGCACACCTCCTCTGTCCACCCTGGGGTCCAGGACAGGCCTAATTCCATCGTCACTGACCCCGCCTGTGCGCGGCCTCAGGAACCGCAGATATCAGAAAGAAAAATCTCCTCGTATGTCAGAGGAGCGCTGTGATGAAAGAGCCTGTATATTTTTATAGGGCACATTTACAGAGTGGTATTTCTTTATTTTTCCAAGTGCCTGGTAGTCTGTCAGAGACCTGCCCCTGGAAACAGAGCTGCAGGTGGGCCATGTCAAATGCAGGGCTGGCAATGAGGAAAGGCTACTCGGACCAGAGAGGGTTCAGCTCCCGCTTCAGACAACTACCAAACATATCTGTAGCATTCTTCTTGTTAGAAACATCATCATTAAATGTAAGGTCAAAATGTTGTCACTGTGTCCCCACAGCCATCTTTGTCCCTATCTTTACTGCATGTCTTGGCACATACTTTGCAGCGTCTGCTTTCTGTATTTTCTTTACATTCTTCCTTTTCTTCAAGAGTATCTGATCTCACAGGGTGCTTCCTCTCTCCTTTCTTTTTTACTTTCTGCATTTCCTCTCACCCCCATCCCCATTTCTTCTCTATGCTGATTTTTTTAACCATCATTTCTGTTCTGTTCTTCCCAGCCGGGCCTGCTCTGGCCTGAGCTTTGTCAGCGCAGCGCTCCGCTCCAACCGAGCAACCCGAGGGTGAAGGAGGATCACCCGACTGATGAAGGCTGTGTACGGCATGATTAGCACTGCTAAACAACAAGAGACAGGTGAAAGAGTATTCATAGCTAGGTGTTGGTGCCATGGAGGGGGTTATTATGGATGAGGCTTAATGATAGCAACAGGAGCAATGAGATGTGAAGATGTGGAAGATGCAGACTGAGAACTGGTTGCGGAAAAATAGGTTTTCTGGCAGTACAAATTGGGGGACATCTTAATGCTTGAGACTTGCCCAAAGAAGAGATGTTGAGCAGTGGTCCCCTACCCAGGCCCTATGCTGGTGGCCAGCAGACAGACTCCAAAACGATTACAAAGTACCCAAACCCCCAAAGGAGGAAGGAACAAGAAACGCAGCACTGAACACACTCCCATGCAGCAGGTAGGCAAAACAGATAAAGGAAAACTAACAGCAATAGACGTCTGTTCCCAGTTTAAGCAAATTTTAAGTGATAATAAACAGAAACCACCGGGACAGTGCTGTAAAAGTCTCTGGATGGTTTTCAGTAGGGGTAGTTAGTCCTTGCACTATAAAAAGTTGGGAACTGCAGAGGACAGCTGTGGATCACTGTGGAAAAAAATAAACCATAAGAACAAATGAACAGAAACATATTTTCCTATTCAGATTTCTGTGCTCTTAACAACTTTGGAGAGATAAACCAACAAATAATAAATTGCAGCTCCAATGCTCTGCATTCATAAATCAAAAAACTGCACTTCTTCAGAAACGGATTTAAAAAAAACACAGTTCATGGTCACAGATTTTCTGTGAGGATAGCTCAGAACTTGTGGCTAGGAACAAAACCACAAGGACGCCATTGCCTATTAAACTTCAGATTTATAGTCTCAACATGTGTTCCTACACAGTAATTCACCATCCTTCACTATCTAACCTAGGGATCAGGGAGCAGAGCAAACACACCGAGGAACAGATATTTATGCTCAGCACCATCAGCTCCTTGCCATGAGACCATGACCACCAAGCATGTCCCATCTCAGAGTTCCCATCTGCAAAGTAGGGAGAAGGCTTCACCTATCCTTGGTGAGGGGGTGCTCTGTGAAGCTAGATTAAGGAGACTTTCAGGGAAAAGACTTTCTGATGCTAGTGAGGTACACACCACCTAAACAAACTAACTGTTTGAAGCTTCAGGTCTGAATATTAGCAACCAAAATCCTGAGAAAAGTTACTGGAAAAACAAAAGGTGTTTACTCAGGATTAGTTTGTCTTCTGGCCAGGCTCTGTACTGCCTCTTTAGCAGCAGAATCTTTGTTTAGCCCCAGAAGACACGAGGAGCACCAAATGAGGGGTACATCAATGAGGAAAAGAGACGGGTGAAAGGAGTTCCTGCAGTGAATTTCTGAAACAGATGGAGGGAGAAAGCAGTTTGTTAAAAGAGCACAAGAGGAGGTCTGGAATCCCCTGGGAATGCAACAGACTTGTCCCAAAGCACCTGGAGGTGTGATCCCCTAATTCTGTGGAAGCACAATAGAGCACAGCTCTGCCTGAGCTGCTCTCTGTGGCTGGAAAGGTTACCAGGATTATTTCTGAAGAAACAGGATGCACGGGCTCTTCACACAATGCTCCACGCAGAGAAGTGACAAAGCTCCTCCTGAATAGTGCTGGTCTCTGCTGTAAACACCCATTAAGATAAGTAGAAAACCAACCCTGTCAAAATCAGGACTGCCTCAGGTCAGTCACTATCAAACACTCACAGAGCAAATGTTAAGCCTTAAGCTAACTGAAAGATTTAT